CATGGTCTCAGGTCGAAAAAATATTTTTAATCTTTGATATTAAAAAAAATATTTTTAGAAAAAATTTACGGTAAACCTGACGGAAAAACTTCATGCAATGTAAGTCGTTCTTTTTCAGAACGTTGCAGTGCATTCGAAACAGGGGCCTGAACACCAGACCATCAGTCAGAAACGATGCTTCAGTTAATTCTTGAAAAGCAATTATAGTACTATCATTGAGAATCCTAGTTTTATGTGAAACGAAAAGGTATTTGCTTAAAAAAATGAAGGAAACGGCAAAGGCGAAAAGAAAACGCGTTGCTGAACATAATAGGAAGCTGAAAATATGTTCAAAATTACTAATAAAAGATGCTACATCCAGATTTAAAAGTTTGATATTTCGATCATTACGAGGCAGCAGATAAATATGGGCACAGTCAAGATAAACAGATATAACGTGACCAAAATAAAGACCAACTTAATAGATGACGATCAAATGCCATGTTAAAATGTAAATAATCTCTAAGATTCAAATTTATCATCAGCATTTCTAAGGTTTTTCTTGAATGCTACACGTCAGAGCATAGCATTGCGATGATAGTCTTTAAATAGTATATTCTGCATGGATATGTTTTATGAAATCTGTCCGACTTTCGAAAGTCAGTGGATTCTTACCCAGGGAACATAATTCACAAATAGTTTTGAAATTTAGTTTAACACAGTAGGAAAATAATGTCCAAAGTTCATCTTGAGGTAACTCCGTTATTTTCGGCATTTGGGAGTGATGATGAATTCCAACCGATGACTGAACTGCTGGGTTGGTTAAATGGTCCGGGGCAGAAACTGTATACCGATACCGATGACCTCACATAATGCGAAGTGGTGCCATATTCCGATCGAAAATATTTATTTTGCAGCTGTGATGTTCTCGAACGTCGACGTAACTGGTGTGCAAATGGCGAAGCGTTGACTGAGAGGAATTTGCAAACTTTACAACGCAAGTTCTGAAAGATATTTTCATTCAAATATCATTTTATGAGATGTACTGGCCGCTCCGTCAATTTATCGTCATGCTCAGTATAGGGAACGCAGCAGAAAGCTTAGCATGCTTTCTTCTGGAGTTAATACACAGAATGGCCTCAAATCCTTCTTTATATCTTTCTCTTTGACTGACCTACTTTGATTGCGTACATCATCTGCCATTCTGATAGACTTTTATGATCGCAATAATAGCGACTAAACGCTTTACAATGTCCTGTGATCCCATATTTTGATCTTTAGACGTTCTTCACAACGGAGACGTCGAGGATTGATTTTGATAAGCAGATGTCGTTATTGTTCCAAAAAAGCGTGATAAATACTTCCTATGTAAACAGTTTTCTGAACAGATACAAACAGCAATGTATGCTCGTACACCAGAATCCGTGAGATAATGAAAAACTTCTTGAAGGTCAAAATTCAGGGCGTTTTTCTCATTCGACCGGTTGTTTCAAGTTGGGTGGAAGAAGCCACGTTCAAACACGCTACCAAACAAAATAACGCAAGATGGATCTAGCACTGCAGATCATTTAGTGCCACGGAGTTATTGCCTGCTTAAAGGATCCAAAAGCAATTTTAGACCAAAGGCGACAAAATAAGCCGTGAAATCTGGTCTTGGAGTTATGCGTTATCTGAAACGTAAGAAGTAAATAGTTTCTAGCAGTTTTAGAACTTACACGTGGATGGCAACTATTGTACGCCAGTTGGTTTAGGCATCGAAGCTTTTCTTACCTGCCCGGTTTTTACCGCCAACAATTGTACGTACGAAACGCGCTCGTTCAACTCGTTGACGTACGTCTCGCTAACAGTGATGCCGTACCAAGTGTCGGGGTGAAGCGGTTTCACGTCAACGTATTTTTCCTTGACCACAGATACGATGGGTAACGTCGCAAAACTGCCGTTGCTGAGGTATTTCACCAGCACGATGCCGAATAGCTTTCTTGTCGACAAAGAACTGTTGAGGATTACTCTTACACTATAAGGCGAGGTCTGCAACCTGAGGAGGAAAGCCGTTTCTGGATGCTGAAACACGTTTGATCATAATCATATGCACATGTGTAAATCTACTGCATTATATCTTATTTGGATACTGAGAGAGCAGCAGAATCTTCTTACATAAAAGTTAATGGAGTGCACAGTTTTATTAGAAAATTAGCCTTTACACAGATGGTTAATATTTGATGTTTGCTTCAACAAGCTACGTCGCAACTTTGGCTGGAAACCTTTTCAGTGGCGGAAAAAAGAACATAAAGTCTTATAAATGGCTATATGATTATGCATAATAAGAAGTATGCAGCGATACATGAGTAGGTAATAAATCATAGGCATCATTTTTTTCCTGAATATATCAATCTATGAGTTAGTGAAACAGATATCTTTGACAACGCTAGTTGGTGTTGTTTTGCTGCTAACGATAGCTATATCTATAATAACTCAAAAAACTGAATTTGCGTGTCATAGTCCCTTTCCTCCAATTTTGCTTAAATAAATAATTTTCATATATTGATTTGTTACTTTAGTGCCGATTCATAAATTAAGCAATTACCTTTGAACGTGAAACAAGTGAAGAAATGATTTGAAACCCTTATAGTCAAAATATATAGGATAGGCCAATTTTTCATTGCTAAGTCTCATTTAGATGACAAGCATGCGTTGGTCGGTTCGTGGCGAGTTTGTGAAAAATCTGTAAATGCGTCATGTTTCGGCCTGTGCACTTCACCAGTTTATACAAAAAGATGGGGCAGCTCTAATCCTGGGATAATATAGTAAATCAAGCTCACGAAAAGGACCGCCAAGCTGACCTCACCCAAACCCACCTGTGAACGGTTCGAAATGTTGCATTAATAGATTAGGTGACCTGGATCATCATGATCAACCATTAGTCAACGCTAAATAGCGTCAGCCGCATTATTTTTGCCATTCCTCGTGGTTTTAAGCATTCTGTTTCCAAACGTGGTCTTCGTGGTTCCTGATATAATCTTCACACCATCGTCATGGGTCATCGAGTGTGGGATACCGGTAGGCGATCATCGACGACTGTATACCATGAATGACATTGGCTATACGTTCGTCTCACCAAAATTTCTCCTCTCTGATCTACAACGA